CCAAAAACTCAAAAAAAAAAACAAAAATCACAAAAAAATGCTCAAAAAATCTCAAAAATCCCCGAAAAACCCCAAAAAATAAAAAAAACATTCACCAAAAAATTCTAAAATAATCTAAAAAATCACCAAAAATCCCAAAAAACTCCCAAACCTTTAATTCCAGAAGCTCCAAGCGCAGCAGCAAAACCCCCGCGGCCGCTCCGGCTCCGACTTTGGCCGATTCCGAGGAAGAAGAAGAATCCAAACCCATGACCTACGACGAGAAACGTCAGCTGAGCTTGGACATCAACAAACTTCCAGGAGAAAAATTGGGAAGAGTCGTTCACATCATCCAATCCCGGGAACCTTCGCTCCGAGATTCCAACCCCGAGGAGATCGAGATCGACTTCGAGACGTTGAAGCCGTCGACGCTGCGAGAGTTGGAGAGATACGTGTTGTCCTGCCTGAGGAAAAAACCACGGAAACCCTACAGCGAGAGTGAGGAAAAATGGGAATTTTTGGGAATTTGGGGAATTTTTGGGAAAAAAAATGAGGATTTTAGGTGGAAAAACGGCGATTTTAGGTGAAAAAATGGAGATTTTAGGTGGAAAAATGGAGATTTTAGGTGGAAAAGTGAGAGGTTTAGGGCAAGAAATGGGGATTTTTGGGAATTTAGAGAAGAAATGGGGATTTTAGGGCAAAAAATGGGGATTTTAGGTGAAAAAGTGGGAATTTTTGGGAATTCTGGGGAAAAAATGGGGATTTTAGGGCAAAAAATGGGGATTTTAGGTGAAAAAGTGGGAATTTTTGGGAATTCTGGGGAAAAAATGGGGATTTTAGGTGAAAAAATGGAGATTTTAGGTGGGAAAACAGATTTTGGGGCAAAAAATTGAGATCTAGGAGCAAAAAAGTGGGAATTTTAGGGCAAAAAATGGGAATTTTTGGGAATTTAGAGAAAAAAATGGGGATTTTAGGGCAAAAATGGGGATTTTATAGCAAAAGGGAATTTTTGGGTTTTTTTGGAGAGATTTTAGGGCAAAAAATGGCGATTTTAGGTTAAAAAATGGGGATTTTAGGGTTTTTTTGGGAATTTTCTGAATTTTTTAGGTTTTTTGGGAATTTTAGGTGAAAAAAATAGAGATTTTAGGGCAAGAAATGGGAATTTTTGGGAATTTAGAGAAGAAATGGGGATTTTAGGGCAAAAAATGGGGATTTTAGGTGAAAAAGTGGGAATTTTTGTGAATTCTGGGGAAAAAATGGGGATTTTAGGTGAAAAAATAGAGATTTTAGGTGGGAAAACGGAGATTTTGGGGCAAAAATGGAGATCTAAGAGCAAAAAAGTGGGAATTTTAGGGCAAAAAATGGGAATTTTTGGGAATTTAGAGAAAAAAATGGGGGTTTTAGGTAAAAAAGTGGGAATTTTTGGGAATTTTGGGGGAAAATGGGGATTTTAAGTGAGAAAATGTGGATTTTAGGGTTTTTTTTGGATAAAAATGGGGATTTTGCAGGGATTTTTGGGAATTTTGTGGAGTTTTTGGGGTGTTTGGGGACGTTGGGAGTTGGAGAGAAACGTGTTGTCCTGCCTGAGGAAAAAACCACGGAAACCCTACAGCGAGAGTGAGTAAAAATGGGAATTTGGGGAAAAAAAATGGGAATTTTTGGGAATTTGGGGCAAAAAAAAAGAATATTTTAGGTGAAAAAATGGAGATTTTAGGGCAAAAAATGGGAAAATTGGGAATTTTTTCAGAAAAAAACGGGGATTTTGGGTGAAAAAACGGATTTGGTGAGAAAAATCTGGGATTTTGGGTTTTTTGGGATTTTTTAAAATGAGTTTTTCCCTAATTTCTCCCAAATTTTTCCTCAATTTCCCCCAAATTTTTCTCTGATTTTCCCTGAATTTTTCCTTAATTTCTCCCAATTTTTCCCTAATTTTCCCCAAATTTTTCCCTAATTTTCCTCTGAATTTTTCCCTAATTTTCCGTCTTTTTCCCTGAATTTTTCCCTAATTTCTCCCAAATTTTTCCCTAATTTTCCCCCAATTTTTTCCTAATTTCCCCAAAATTTTTCCCTGAATTTTTCCCTGAATTTTTCCCTGTATTTTTCCCTAATTTCCCATTTTTCTCTAATTTTTATCGAATTTTTCTCTAATTTCTCCCAAATTCTTCCTCAATTTCCCCCAAATTTTTCTCTGATTTTCCCTGAATTTTTCCTTAATTTCTCCCATTTTTTCCCTAATTTTCCCCAAATTTTTCCCTGATTTTTTCCTTAATTTTCCCCAAATATTTCCCTGAATTTTTCTCTAATTTTTCCCTGTTTTCGCCCATTTCTCCCTAATTTTTCCTTAATTTTTCCCTCATTTCCCTCAAATTTTTCTCCAATTTCCCCCAATTTTTTCCCAAATTTTTCCCTAATTTTCCTCTGAATTTTTCCCTAATTTTTCCCTAATTTCCCTCAAATTTTTCCCTAATTTTCTCTGAATTTTTCCCTAATTTTCCATCTTTTTCCCTGAATTTCTCCCAAATTTCTCCCAAATTTCTCCCAAATTTCTCCCAAATTTTCCCCCAATTTTCCCTTAATTTTCCCTTAAATATTCCCTAATTTTCCGCAATTTTTCCTTAAACTTCCCCTGATTTTTTTTCCCAAATTCCCCCCAAATTTTCTCCTCATCTCCCCTCCCCCTCCCCCCTCTTTTCCCGCTTTTCCCCCTTCCCGGTTTTTTTTTTTCCCGGGATTTTCCAGCCCTGAAGAAGCCGGTGGGGAAAACGAAAGAGGAGCTGGCCCTGGAGAAAAAACGGGAATTGGAGAAGCGGCTCCAGGACGTCAGCGGGCAGCTCAACTCCGCCAAGAAACCCCCCAAAAAAGGTGGGAATTCCGGGAATTTTGGGAATTCTGGGAATCCTGGGAATCCTGGGAATCCAGGAATTCGGGAGTTCTGGGAATTGGGGATTGGGATTGGGGAATTTGGGGATTCCAGAGGTTTGGGAGGGGTTGGGCAGCTCGAATCTGCCAAAAAAAACCCCAAAAAAGGTGGGAATTCTGGGAATTCCGGGAATTTTGGGAATTCTGGGAATCCTGGGAATTCTGGGAATCCTGGGAATCCAGGAATTCGGGAGTTCTGGGAATTGGGGATTGGGATTGGGGAATTTGGGGGATTTTTGGGGTTTGGGAGGGGTTGGGCAGCTCAACTCCGCCAAGAAACCCCCCAAAAAAGGTGGGAATTCTGGGAATTCCGGGAATTTTGGGAATTCAGGGAATCCAGGAATTCGGGAATTCTGGGAATTTGGGATTGGGGAATTTGGGGGATTTTTGGGGTTTGGGAGGGGTTGGGCAGCTCAACTCTGCCAAGAAACCCCCCAAAAAAGGTGGGAATTCCGGGAATTCTGGGAATTCTGGGAATCCTGGGAATCCTGGGAATCCAGGAATTCGGGAGTTCTGGGAATTTGGGATTGGGATTGGGGAATTTGGGGATTCCAGAGGTTTGGGAGGGGTTGGGCAGCTCAACTCCGCCAAGAAACCCCCCAAAAAAGGTGGGAATTCCGGGAATTCCGGGAATTCTGGGAATTCTGGGAATCCTGGGAATCCAGGAATTCGGGAGTTCTGGGAATTGGGGATTGGGATTGGGGAATTTGGGGGATTTTTGGGGTTTGGGAGGGGTTGGGCAGCTCAACTCCGCCAAGAAACCCCCCAAAAAAGGTGGGAATTCCGGGAATTCCGGGAATTCTGGGAATCCTGGGAATCCAGGAATTCGGGAATTCTGGGAATTTGGGATTGGGATTGGGGAATTCTGGGATGGGGATTGGGAATTCTGGGATCAGGACTGGGAATTCCAGGATGAGGATCGGGAATTTTGGGCTCAGAGTAGGAATTTTGGGATCAGGATTGGGAATTCTGGGATCAGGATTGGGAATTCCAAGTTCCAGGCAGGAATTTTGGGATGAGGATTGGGAATTTCAGGATGAGGATTGGGAATTTCGGGATCAGGATCGAGAATTTTGGGCTCAGAATTGGAATTTTGGGCTCAGGATTGGGAATTCCGGGATCAGAACTGGGAATTCTGGGATGAGGATTGGGAATTTTGGGATGAGGAGTGGGAATTCCGGGATGAGAATTGGGAATTTTGGGATCAGGACTGGGAATTCTGGGATGGGGGTTGAGAATTCTGGGATCAGGACTGGGAATTCTGGGATCAGGATCAGGAATTTTGGGATCAGGACTGGGAATTCCAAGCTCCAGGTAGGAATTCCGGGATCAGGACTGGGAATTCCGGGATGAGAACTGGGAATTCCGGGATCAGAACTGGGAATTCCGGGATCAGAACTGGGAATTCCGGGATGAGAACTGGGAATTCCGGGATCAGAACTGGGAATTCCGGGATCAGAACTGGGAATTCCGGGAT